ACGCGCAAGCAAATTATAAAATTGAACCATGTGTTAGTCCCGAAATGACATAGTTTGTGTCGAGTGGAAGTTAAACCCATTAGTCTCTCTCTTTCTCCTATCCTTATCTCTTGGTAAAATGTTGCTTTAAATTATTTTCAAAATAAATGCGGTATCGGTCAATATACAATATCATACGTTTTAGCGCTTTTAAATTTATATAACGGTACATGCAATAGATTTGACTTCCGAATTGTTTTTGTTACTTCATGTCGCATTATTCATCGTGTTTACATTCTATATATGGACAATAAAAAAGCTATAAATAACTTTAGGCGGCCATTTGTCATTCTAATAGCTTACAAAATAGAGTGATTTTAATGATTATCACAGATCCACGTATTAAAAGGGGTGTCTTTTTTAATTCGCCATTTAAAGATGCACTATGTAAGATTTAGTTAAAGACCTGTTTGTTCTTGCTATTGCTGGTTTAGAAATGAATACATTGAATACAGTCAAGTGACTTTAATCTGTGCTAAGTTATGAATGTTTGAGTTTCAACAAGAATAACGTGTTCTCGATTGTTATTGCAACGATAATAAATGAGATCTCGATTTTCCATTTTAACGTTAACCAATTAGATTTCACTTAAGGTCTCAGTCATCCGTTGTCATGTAAATAAATGTCTAAATAATTTATATAACATTTGAAGCCAGAAAAAAAACACCTGCAATGGGCAGATTTAGCTATTTACACTTTGAAAATACAATTTATTCATACTTTTACTACGATTCAGATTGAAAACAAAGAAAACAAAATTTTGTTCTACTTTCCATTCTTTCTTCTTTCTGTGTCAACAAGCACACTTATTCTTAAACAGGTCAGTACTCTACAGTATCAAGAGTATGTAACTAATCTAATTTAAGGTGCAAGCTTATGTGTATTTTTTATGGAAGAAAGAAATGATAGCAATTATTCGAACTGACACTAAATCGATCATTCTTTGATTAATTCTTTCTCTTGCTTCTTCACCTGCTTTACCTCGACACAGATATCTGTTTTCTTAACAGAGTTTAAGTTCTGATCATTATGATATAAATTTTGTTTTGGTTGCTACTAATAGTTTATTTTCATTTTTGAACGGTTGAACACAAAGTCTTTTATTCTTTTTAGGACCTTGACGAAATCTGCAGGTGGTTTTAATATTTAGATCTGACCATGGTAATTGGTCGATTGGCATTTCGGGGGATTGATAGAATTTAGTTCCGGTATTTTAAATCGAATATCCTCATTGTAGTACACCGATAGCCGAATGTTCCTCACAAAAAATGCTAAAAGATGTATGTAATTTTACAGCGTCAGTGATGCTATTAATGTTCTTAGGTGTAAATATAATGCATTTAATGTAATTTTAATGTATTTTATCCGGCCTAGAGAATCACTCTGAGAACTAAGTATCATTAGTTTTTTAACACAAATTAAGAATAATGTGCGTTCTTATCTCACTCGCAAGATAATTTGTCTAAAACTCCATTTTTGTTGGGTGGGGGGGGGAGCTATATTAAAGTAAGGGATTTGATGGTTATGTTGAGCGCAGACTAATAATTTGGCCGCAAGTACTCTTTTCTTCGGGTTATTGCACGCAAGTAATTATGCCGTTAGATACAACAAGCGGTTGCCATGTAAAATACGCCACATTTTCCTAGAAATGTATGGGGAAGAGGTAAAACCAGTAGGGCTCATCCTCTCCTTCAAGATCTTTTAATCCTTAACATATTTGTTAAGTTTTATCAGAATGGGACAACAAATGTATCCCCTCTGGGGAGCATCAAAATTCCATAGGGCTTATCCTCTCATTCACGATCTTTTGATCAAGTTCATCAGAATGGGAAACAAATGTAGCCCCTCTGGAGAGCCTAAAAATTCATACATATTTCACATCTTGCGTAAAAGGCAGGGCTATAGCTCTAGAATCTGTGGTCTGCTGCGTACGAAAGTCGAACTCATCCAAGAACTTTTGATCCTTAACACATAGTTTTAAGTTTCATCTCATGAATCGAACAAAATTATAGCCTCGGGAAGGTCCACAAACTTCAGTCGTATTGCACATTGTGCGTTAAAGCTAGGGGACCAATGCGCACCAAAACTGAACTCATCCAAGAGCTAGTGATACTCGTTTAAAGTTCATCTAAATCGGACAAACTTCTGACCTCTAGATGGTACACAACCTTGATATTACATGCTTTTATACTATTTGCGTAAAGGAGATTGGTCATTTGACTGAAAGTTTCGATCTGATTATCAGGAAATTTGGACTCAACCATAATTATGATGTAACAGTGATATATTTCAACGGTTTTGAAAATAATATAAAATGGTGACCAGAGGGTCCACACGCTAAATAAAAACAATCAGGGGTTATAATCCAGAAAGTTACGGTCCAATACGTGTCAATATTGAAAGGAACCCAGACCTTTGAGATATAGGCGGCCCCTGGTCCCTGACCTAAATTCCTAGGATGGTACCCCCCCCCCCCCCAATGAACAATTCCCTCCGCTAGCCCTGCTGCAATAAGGTGATGCCAAAACTATGATCGCATGCTACCTAGCATGCATCTGCCCGAAACAGCCATGATTTCATTTGACCTAAATTCCTAGGATGGTAGCCCCCCCCCCCCCCAATCAAGAATTCCCTCCGCCAGTCCTGCTGCGATAAGGTGATGCCAAAACTATGATCGCATGCTACCTAGCTTGCCACTGCCCGAAACAACCATGATTTCATCAAAATCTTTAAAGGGTATATTTATGTGGAGTTGCATACAAATATATATCTTAGTGGGAACTGACCAATTTTATTGCTGCGTCACAACCCAACAGCCTTTGAAAAAATTGGGCCCACTCCATATAAATAAGATAAACTTTTATTGTATCGAAGCATCTATACGCATACACATATCGGAGAATTTATGTCCACGCATCCAGAATTCAGAAACACGTAGGCCTTCATTGCATTTGATAAAATATTTTAAAATCTGTCAACTGTTTGTTATTAATGTATTTATTTCAACTATACAAAACGAACACTGAAGTTTACGGTAATGAAAGCAAATATTTTTGGACATTCAGTTACGTGACCAGTTGACGTATAGCGAAGATTATTCTTAGCACACACACACTAATTATGTAGTGATATTAAAAATTATTTGAAAAATCATTACACAGTCGATAGAGGACAGATCCGACATGGTGCAGATTACACCCGGCACGCGCAGGACCAATCTGCGCGGACATAGTGGACTCTGTCCCACATGGCAGCGCAGATTGCAATCTGCGCGATGGGTGGAGAATGCGCCCAACAGTTACACGGATTATTAAGGCAGATATAAATTTTCTTCCGTGTACACCCATGGTTCATTTCTCGTCTCCGTAAACAAGCGGAATAACTGTTTGTGTTCACAAATTTTACGAATGTTAAAAACATTCCAAATATAAGTTTATTTTAACATTATATGATAAGACTTACCATATAAACTTCACTCATCAACAATGGAAATATAACCACGTTTGATTTTTGAGGATATAGCCATTTGGGATTTTTTTAAAATGGCTCAAAATCTGATCGGGTCCCTGGATCAAGGCAGTTAACGCTTTTAATGACAATACGAATTATGTTCCTTAGTCACATTAAAATTGTAACCTACGCCCCTGTAACGAATATTTCTTTATCACAGTCGGTAAACATCGTTAATTTCCTTGATGCGAAGTAACGGAATAAACTCCATGTGACGATTGAATTTGACATATGTAGGCTACGCACGCGCAAACGCATAGTTGTTTTAACAACACGCCCACGCCTTCAAATGAAATGAAATGAAATGGAGTTTAACGTCCTACTGTTCTGCTCCGAACTGGGCTTATGAAGACGGCATACGCCATACAGTGTGCTATAAGGGAAAATTTGCTCGGACAGCGGCACTACGGCCTACTCTTATATCGAATTCCAACTGTCAAGGGATCTTTTACGTGCACGCCACCGTGTACAGGGGAATAAAATGGACATAGAAAATAAAAAAAATTCAATAAACTGCATTAAATAAACGCTAAGAAAGGGGCATTGAAAACTTCTTCCGATTATGTAAGATGAGCCATACAAATAATGTTTTTCTAAATTTGCCTTTAAATGGACCGAGGCATTTCTTGTTTAGGCCCTTTGCCCTGCACTACCGACAGGGAGAATCCATACTGCAAAATCGGGTTAGAATGTCGTGATATCGGGTTGTCGCCTTATGAAGGGCGACATCACGACATGATACCAATCAGTCACCATAGTCAATTGATCAACCGTAGCAATTCACTTTATGTTAAAATAATATTTTGTAATGTGTTAAATCAGTTCTATGAGGGGTGGGGTGGGGGTGAATGACCGATTGGTTAGCACGTGCGTGCTGTGTCATAAGGCCTGTCATTGTGTCAGCTGGCGTGGTTTCGAATCCCCGGTCGTACGTAACAAGGAGTAGGGTCGCCTGTCCAACCTCGTGGGTTTTCTCCGGGTCCTCCGATTTCCTCCCACTGCTAAAGACCCTTGCGCGCAAGCAAATTATTGACTTGAAATTAAACCATATGTTAGTCCCAAAATGGCCTAGTTTGTGTCGAGTGGACGTTAACCCCATCTCTCTCTCTCTATCTCTCTTTCTCTCTCGGATCTCTCTCTCTCTCTCTCTCTCTCTGTTACATATGTAAAATTGGTGGACAGTCTCCAATTGAAGGGAGGCAACTACAAATATGTCACATTCCATCATTAAATTTATAGGCTACTTTCCTATTGACATTGAGAGTGAGTACGTCATATTGGTAGGTTTGGTTTTTGGCATGTTATCCTTTCCATCTATGCATTAACACAAAGAACTGAGGATACGTTTAACTCGTTTGCATTGATTGAATTAAACCTAATGTCGATCCTCGTCCAAATACCCAACACACCTACATTTGATAAACCGGAAGTTATCATTTCTTGCCAAGGATTTGAGATGATATTATGACATGCGTAATATTGCTTACATTTGTTCTGTTCATTCTTTGAATTTTAAAATATAATAACTGCGACATTAAGAAAAAGATGGAATCTCCAAACAAAATCAGCCTAGATCTCAATGAAAGCAAACTTGTAATAAAACGTTTATGGTTCATGAAATGGAATAATGATGATGATATTCATATGCCAACTTATGAATATGATGGCTTATCCTTATCCCCGGTGATATCATATGCCAGCTTTAGCTTATGATGGCTTATCCTCGGTGGTAGCATCATTATAACCCAGATCTACCCATATCCACCCAAATTTACCATTATTTCTACTCATAATAATTTTATGTTTGATATTTGATAGTGTGCTTCTTTAATAATTTTATGTTTGATATTTGATAGTGTGCGTCTTTATGTCAAATTAACGTAACTTTTAATCTAAAATGGTAACATTTTTTGTACCATATCAAAAATCCCCTGAAATGCAATTTCCAGGCAGGTTTTTTGGTGTACGGTAATACCAGAGTTATGTCCCTTGTTTACAGCTTCCAAACTTACTTTGAAATCACATTTTGAGAGGGGAACTACAGTACCGTAACTACAAAAGTAAGACCCTGGCTCGGCAAGAAAGTTCATCAAGATTTTCCGGCATGGTTTGCCCTTGTCATTGGTGCAGGACGAAGGGCTTGACAAGGACAGGTGTCTTGTCATCGGAGTTCCTGTACAAAACATTGGTGTGCATGTAAAAGATTCCTTCGCAGTTGGAATTCGATATAAGATTATAGTAGGCCATTGCGCCACTGTCCGGGCAAAATTTCTCTCATACCAGACTGTATGGCTTAAGCCCATCTTTATAAGCTCAGTCGGAGCAAAACAGTGGGATGTTAAACCCCCATTTCATTTCATTTTGAGGGGCATTGGGTAGTTGCATTTTGATGAGGATTCTTTTTTGACACAACAACAGAATGATTTTAAATTAGAAGTGACAATTTAGCATAAAGATTGGTACGACCATGTAGAATATTGGAGATAACCAAGAAAACAATATTCTAGTGTCCGCAATTTGATTTCAACATATCTTTTATTCTGTTATTCTAATTTATCTGTTGCAGAAAAGATGGCTTTACAGCAAAAACAGTTAACTGATAGAATAGATAGAGAGAAAATGGAACCCACTACAACAGATAAATCTTTATTTGAATGTACAATATGCAACGAGAAATATGTACTATACACTGATTTAGTACAACATTGTAAAACACACGTTATAGAGGAGAAAACAGCTGAGGTAATCATTAATCCAATACAATGTGAAATTTCTAAATCAAAAAATAAAAACAAAAAGATATATGTATATTTGAAATGTAAAAAGAGTTCAAACTCAACAGACAATAGAATACATCACATCGGGGATGTATTTGACAGACCATTGACTGAGAGCTGTAATGTGCTCGGAAATCATCCGCCATCTTCTAAAGCCCTTGAATGTGTTGTCTGTGAAATAGTATTTGACCATGATGAAGAGTTACAGCAACACATGAGAAGCCATCTTGTTGATAGACCATATAAGTGTAGTTTTTGTGTAGAAACTTTTGAAGACCCTATAAGTTTAAAGGTACACATCACTACTCATTCCAATAGAAAACCTTTAGCAGGCACCTGTATTTCAATTAGGAATATTTCAACACTTCAAAAACCAATTACTGACACCAAAAGTTCAAATGTTGGCGTTTTAACTCCTGACAACACTGTTACTAATGCCAATAGTTCAAATATCAGAATTCCTGCTCATGAAAAACTAGTTGCAGATACAAATATACAAAGTTCAAATGTTGGCGTTTCAACTCCTGACAACACTGTTACGATTGCCAATACATGTATTTCAAATATAGGAATTCCAGCTCGTGAAAACACAGTTGCAGATACTAATATACAAAGTTCAAATGTTGACGTTTCAACTCCTGACAACATTGTTACGAATGCCAATACTTGTATTTCAAATATAGTTTTTCCAGCTCATGAAAAAAACGTTGCAGATACTAATATACAAAGTTCAAATGTTGACGTTTCAACTCCTGACAACACTGTTACGAATGCAAATACATGTATTTCAAATATAGGAATTCCAGCTTGTCAAAAAACAGTTGTAGATAATAATATACAAAGTTCAAATGTCGAGTGTACTCTTGAAACACCTGTTTCTGAAACAAATGTTAACTCTTCACTTGATGACAAAATAGCTGAATGTGAAGACATTTCAAATCCTGAAGGGAAAGAAGTTAAAAGTTCAGATGACGACACTTCAGTTAATCATCAACTGGAGCATATTAGTTCATCATCAGAAAAGACTAAGCTTACATGTACTACTGACAATAATGGTTTAAAAAGCAATAATTCTCTTGAATCAAATGTTAAGTCTTTTAAGTGTGATTTATGTCCACGATCCTTTTTTCGTGAATGTAGTCTGAAAAACCATGTCAACAATCACAATAAAAACAAAAGATTCCAATGTGATATTTGTGAAAAATCTTTCATTCACAAATGTTATCTTAAAGTGCACATGAGAAAACACACTGGGGAGAGACCCTTTAAATGTAGCATTTGTTGTAAAGCTTTTATGTTAAAACGAAATTTGGTTGAACACAACTTGATACACACAGGCAAACCATTTAAATGTGATGTTTGTGGAAAATCATTTAATAAAATCCGACCTTTAACAGAACATAAGAGAATTCACAGTGGTGAGAGACCTTTTCAGTGTGATATTTGTCAAAAATCTTTTACAGTTCTAAAAAACCTTCAAGGTCACATGAGCATTCATACAGGTGTCCGACCATATAAATGTGAATCTTGCGGAAAAGCCTTCCGATCCAGTCAGTCGTTAAAGGAACATACCCGAATACATACGGGCGAGAAACCTTTTGTGTGTGATGTTTGTGGAAAGGCATTTATTCAATGCAGTCATTTACGAGAACATCAAGTTCTTCATTTGGCCGAGAGACCTTTTAAATGTGATGTTTGTGGTAAATCCTTTAATAGGGAGCGCCGTTTGAACACTCACATGAAACTCCATACCGGAGAAAAGACATGTATTTGTGATTATTGTGGTCATTCGTATACTACAGAAAAAACTCTTAAGGATCATATTCGAATCCATACCGGCGAAAGACCATACAGTTGTGAATTTTGCGACAAAACCTTTCTTCAGAGCAGCCATTTACGTGAGCATCGCAGGATGCACACTGGTGAAAAGCCTTATAAATGCGAGTTTTGTAATAAATCGTTTCCAGTGAAGCGAAATCTGCAATTTCACATTCGAACCCATACTGGCGAAAAACCCCACAGATGTGACATCTGTAATAAATCTTTCACTGTTATTCACAGTTTAAAGATACACCTCAAATTACACAAGGGTCAAATACCAACATGTGAGTATTGTGGGAAAACCTTTAATGCACCTACAAATCTGAGAGAGCATGTTAGAATCCATACCGGTGAAAAACCCTATAAATGTGATGTTTGTAATAAAGAATTCCGAATCAAACATTGTCTAACGGAACATATGATGACCCATACCGGTGAAAAACCTTTCCAGTGTGAAATTTGCGGCAATTCTTTTCGTCGAAGTGGACATTTGATCAAACACAAGCGTTTTCACTCTGGTGAAAAACCATTTAGTTGTGAATATTGTGATAAATCCTTTGTTGTTAGCCAACGTCTAAAAGAACATACACGCATTCATACGGGTGAAAAGCCGTATGAATGTAAAATATGTCATAAAGCATTTGCTGTAAGTCAAAGTTTAGTAAATCACACAAAGAAGGTGCATCCTGGGTCAAAGAAATAGATACAGTGTATTAGTTCTTGGCGATATTTTGGATACAAATTTGAAATATTATATCACAATATAAATGTATACCCTGATATTTTACTAAACATCCAAAACATTAAAAGATGTAGTATGTAAGATTGAGATTTCTTGTTTATTTCTTGCCATGTCTGTGTAATTTGACTTGTCCGCAGACAGAACAGTAGGATGTTAAACCCCAATTCATTTCTTGTTCGCAGGTTTGTCTTATAGCTTTCATTTTGCATGTAGTGTGGTTCTCCTGCATTTATTATTAGATAAAGTGTTGGCTGTTTTTGATGTAATAGTTCAAAAATAGATAATTAAAAATGAATATACCTGTATTGAAACTTTCTTTCAAATTAATTGGTTTTGGGTGAAGTTATCGTAGCAACGGTACTTGATGACCAAGACAAAACCTTGATTGTCCATTTTATGGTTAAATTTGTAAATCTTGCGGGTGTTCAAATTCCTTTAAATCTTGGACATTTTGATGATCTAGAGAGTTGATTATAGGCTTGTCAGGTTAATAAATGTCTAAATAATAATTTATATATCATTTGAATCCAAAAAAAGGAACTGCAATAATAGGCAGATTTAGCTCTTACATAATGCATCTTTAATTTATAAAATGTTATTTAGCTTTATTCACAAGACTTACATGCAGACCATAGCTATATTTGAGTAAAAAGAACAATTTGGCATTATTTTAAAGATCATTTGGTAGGAAGAATCAATGTTTGTTTATTACATCAATGCATATCACTTGAATTAACAGACATTTTGATAGCAATATAAAAGAATGTTTTTGCTGACCGAATTTTTGTAGGTTTTATTATCAAATAAAAATCTAAAATGAATATCCCAAGAATGTTTTCAGGATTTTAGTTTAAAAAAGGTAAACGTATAAACTATATTTTTGACATTTGTGTCCCTTTTTTATGGAAAAAACCTGAAACCATCTCTTTATTAGATTCTACATTACAAGCATACAGTTAAATATAACAAATTGGATTGTGTTCTCCAGGGAGAGAGAGAAGAGAGAGAGGGGGTTTAACATCCACCCTTCTCAAGCTAAGTCATTTTGGGACTAACATGGTTCAATTTTACTTCAATAATTGGCTTGTGCATAGATGTCTTTAACAGTAGGGGGAAACCGGAGGACCTAGAGGGAACGGACAAGGTTGGAAAGGTGAACCTACTCATTGTCACCTACAAGCCATTCGGCCACCACACTCTGTTTTCCCAAAAATTGATTTACGTACATATGTTAAAATAAAATATAATTGATTTGCCGTGTTGTTAATGGGACAGGGGGGTTGGGTGGCTGAATGGTTAGCACGTGCGGGCTGTACCATAAAGTCTGTCATTGAGTAAACTGGCGTGGTTTCGAATCCCCAGTTGTACGTGGCAAAGAGTAGGGTCGCCTGTCCAACCTCGTGGGTTTTCCCCGGGTCCTCCGGTTTCCTCCCACTGCTAAAGACCCCTACGCGCAAGCAAATTATTGAAATAAAATTAAACCATGTGTTAGTCCCAAAATGACAGTTTGTGTCAAGTGGACGTTAAACCCCATTTCTCTCTCTCTCTCTCTCTCTCTCTCTCTTATTAATGGGACAAGTTGAATTCATTTTAGAAAATTAATCGTAAAAGCGGGTGATTGTCATTTACATTTTTCGGACAATATCAAATTTCTCACAACTAAAACATATATCATGCAAGAGCTAAATCTGCCTATTGCAGGTCTTTCTTTAGACCTTAAAGCTGAAATAAGTGAGTCTTCAGCTGTGATTTGAAAGTAGTCAAAGTTTCACTGTTTCGGATTTTCAGAGGTAAATCATTCCACAATTTAGGAGCAACTACACTAAATTGTTTTAGTTTTGACTGTGAGACGACAAGGGTGTTCTGGTTAAAAGATCTGGATATATGACCGATTGGTTGATACAGTGATAGTAGTTCTGATAAATAGTTGGGTGCAAGATTTCGTAGACACTGGACCTTAAAGTTGATGTGAGCTGGAATATTGGTAGCCAATGTAAAGATTTTAGATTAGGTGTTATGTGAGATGATGTTTTGGTTCGTGATATGATTCTGGCTGCTGTAGTCTGTATTTGCTGTAGCTTTGATTAATCCCTTGAAGTTATCGCCCTTTAACTGCAAGTATCGTACTGATCAGACTTCTGGAATATTTGTATACGCCCACATTTTCCCGTGGACGTATATTGTCGTCGCACCTGGACGTCTGTCCGTCCACCATTTGTTTGTGGACACTCTACGGGTCACAATTCTTATCCGATTATGACGAAACTTGAAATATAGATCCCTTTCGATATTGGCATGTATCAGATCGAAAATTCATGGATTATGACCCCTCATTGTACGAAAAATCACGTTTTTAGATTGTGGACACTCTAGACACTGATTTTCATCTGATTTTGATGAAACCTAAAATGCACGTTTGTAATCCAAGGATCTTGGTTCCTTTCGATATTTGCTCATATCGGATCGTACCTTCCTGAATTATGGCCCCTGATTGTACAAAAAATAGCGTTTTCAGCTTGTGGTCGCTCTAGAGGTCACAATTATTGTCCGATTTAAAAAAAGAAAAAACGTTCGAATATATCACTGCTACACTCTAATGATGGTTGAGTTTGAATTTTGTGAAAATCGGACCAAAACTGTCGGACAAAATGGCCGCTCCTCGTATGCAAATAGTGTAAATATATGGTATATCAAGGTTGTGCACCCTCTACAGGTCAGAATTTTGATCCGATTTTGATGTCACTTGATGAAAGACATGTTTATAACCCAAAGATCTTGGTTCCTTGCGATATTCGCTCATATCGGATCGCAACTTCCTGAATTATGGCCCATGATTGTATGAAAAATCACGTTTTTAGCTTGTGGTCCCTATAGAGGTCACAATTTTTATCCGATTGAAAAGACCGTTTAAATATATAACCGTTACACCCTAATGATTGTTGAAAAATCAGACCAAAACTGCCGGACAAAATGGCCGTACGGAAATAGTGTAAAAGTAAGTAATACCAAGGTTCTGGACCCTCTAGAAGTTATAATTTTTATTCGATTTTGATGAAACTTATAATATATCTTTATAATCTTTTCGACATTCGCGCATTTCAGACCATAACTTTTCTGGATTATAGCCCCTGATTTTTTATCTTGTTTTCTATCCATCTCTTGCAAAATGTCGGTGTATCGAGCCTGGCAACCGCTGATTTCGTATTAAAATTAAAAACCAAACATTAGACCCTTTTTCATATACATGTGGCTGACAACGGATGAATATATTAGAATCAAGTGTCGTGGATCATTCATTGATATTATCGGCAATTTTACGCGAAATAAATGAATTGGCGAAAAGTATTCAAATTAGCATCACTCTTTATTAATTTTTAGTGATTTACTTTTATTATTAAAATTCATGGAAAATTAAATGGGTGGGAATGTTGTTATCAACAAGTCCCGTTACACACGCACAGTCCGTGGAGCTGTACCCATTGCAAGCGACATTATCCGCTCTGTTAATTTGCTTTAGCTTATTTTGTCTATGATGTGTGTGAAATAGCTTTAGTTTACGTCCGCTTCACCGAGGTGATATGATAGTAAGACTTCGTTTCTATATTGGAAGTTATCGACCTAAACATACATAACTGTTACCATATCTCGAATGACAATACATTATCACTTCCGCTCTGTTGCCTTAGCTAATTTTGTCTATGATGTGTGAAATAGCTTTATTTAACGCCCGCTTCCACTGAGGTGATATCGCAGACAATTACATGTTATATATACATAGTGAATATATTTACAAAGTGATTAGCGAAAAAGGATTATAAGGGGTGATTAAGTATTTATATATATGTTCAAAAGACAATAAATGACAGAACGTGACGTTAATATAACAAGTGCAAAACAAGAAATGCCAACAGTGACGATCATAGACATTTACAGACATACACACAATACGAATATCTGACAAAACAGACATGAATATGGACGAACATTTAGACGATCATAGACATTTACAGACATACACACAATCCGAATATCTGACAAAACAGACACGAATGTCTATGATTGTAAGACTTCGTTTTTATATTGGAAGTTATCGACCTAAATATATATAATTGTTACCATATCCCGAATGACAATCCATTATCACTTCCCTAGCCACCTGTTAGTAATTTCACCAAGCGTCATGGAGTCTAATGTGTCAGTTAGGCTAGAAAAAGCTTTTACTCTTATCCTATAAAAACGCGTTTCTTACAGTCATTTTAATGACTAAGAGACATTGTTAACTGGCCTATAGGGGCGGAATGTCCATGGATACAAGATGCTTGTATTACTCTCCAAGTATTTCTAATGATAATGGGGTATTTAACAAAAAGCTTTGTACGTCGACCTGCACAACCCATAATCGGGAGGAGCGGGGTTAATTACGGCAACAATTTTCACAACAGTAGTTGCAGAGACATTGCATCTGGCAGTGATGGATATCTTTACAGCACAAAGTAAATTATCCTGCCCATATTCACTCCAGAATTCTTGGAAGTATTCATGTGTATATCAGTATAGTTTTTACTAAAGACTTTCCATTGTTATTGTCAATTGCTCAACAACATCTGGTTCTCGGCTGGATTCCACGAATTTTTCAGGTAAATAATAACAGACAGCTTCATGGACAACATTCACTAGGTTTATTGACTGCAACGTTTCAATGAGGACACTCTGACCGTTATCAAACGAGTATCCTCATTGAAACGTTATAGTTAGGCCTGAAATGTTATCTTATTTATTAAGTAGACATTAATTAACTTATCCAGACCATAATCAACTCTCAATGTCATTGCCACGATATTTACTGGATTAGAATCGAGACTATGTTTTTTTTATCGTACCGACTTTAGTAATGGTGATCGAGGCTAGGCCTAAAATTCAATCGGTAAATTCTCTGTTCAGAGTGGATCAATTTGACTTACATTTTCAGCAAATTCCCTTTCCATTTTCAAGTTTTTAACTATTATACTGAGAACTGTCAGCCCTTTATCTTATACCCCATAAAGTATCTTTAATAAACCTAGTGCATATTATCAATGTTATATCGCTTTCACTAAAAATAAAATGCCCTTTAACCTTTGATATGGCCGCCTCGGGATAAGGCGCTTTCGGGCTTTGGGGGGGGGGGGAGATTTTTCCATATTATATATCTATTGAAAGCTGCAATGTTTGAAATGGTGGTAGATATATGTTTAGAATGATAAACAATTTAATTATTTTTTGGAAAATGTATAATACCCGTATACGGTTTTTCAGTTACGTGTGAAAATTATCAAATACCTCTCAATCATTGCCGGTTCGGAAAAGGGGCGAAAGTCCCTTCTTATAAAGCGAGCACACGTTAGCAAGGGACCAATAAAATATATTCTTGAAAAATATAATAGATCTATGACATGAATCAAGAATACTGAACAACTTCACACTACATGTACCTATGAAGGGAAACAACAGGTATATATTTCTGTGCGATATTTCTGTATTGGGTATGAAGTTGAGGGTACTCATAATGTCAACAAAACCCACACTGTATGAATGTTACTGAAAATTGTCAAGTGTTTTGATATGGTAGTCACGCGAGTTCTAGTTATTTTTGTGGAGAAAATAGCTTTGCCATAAAATACAATAATGGACCACAATATTGTAAATTACTTACAGGGTCATATACGAGTTTTAATATTTTGCGATCTTTTACAAAATAGACGAAGTTTCTTTGTTGACACCCTCACGCACAACAAACAGGTCTTCTGGTCTGTAATCTTCTAAATAGACTTCTACTATTGATCTGTTTGATTAGAACTTCAGATGCCATGATTTGTCTGATGCTATTGCCTACATTCCAGCAATATGGGTAGTTAGCAATATCACAAACTCACGCACGTTTCAGTTCTGAACAGCCAGCATAAACCCAGTTGGAATCGATTTTTTAGAACTGAAAACAATTTTATTTATATATTCGTCTAAAACTCCCGTCAAAAGGCAAAACCTAGTAACTCACTTTTTTCTTATTTTAAGAAAACAAAGGAAAACGTAATGAATGAATATTAAACCCCAGCTCATCCTTTGATTTCACTATTGAGTTACTAAGTTTTGCTGTGGTAGTCTAGGCAAATGAGGGAAGCTGCTAGGTTTTGTCATGGGTGTAACTGCTTACAAAATCAAAAGATTGGAAGATCTAGTTCAACAACAGGAAGCACATACCCTAGTAACTACAAATTTGGACCTAACTCAATTTTGATAAAAAAAAAGTGAGTTACTAGGTTTTGCCTTTTGACGGGAGAAATAATGGAACTCTCTTTTTCAAAAGTGTCTCATTTGTTAAGTGCCTAGGTTAAGACTGTTCATTATATTTATTCCCGTTATGTTTGTACCCACACGTAGTTCGATCGCTTATAGCAATTCTTTCTTTTCCATTTTCCCCTCTCGTGCGTGAAGTGACCCATCGGATGTTAACATCTATGATCCCGAAAATGCACAGTTTCAAATTACAAATGGAATTTATAAAATAGGGTTGTGACGCCAATATGAAGCAATGATAGTTAATTTCCTGGTTAAACTGTTTCTTTAACGGCTGATAGAATACCACAGTGGCATGTCACGACGAAAATGATTTTTAAATGGTATTGAATTGCTTCGATCTGTTCTGGAGGGTGTACACTGGTTTACGAACAAGCCCATGTACAATCGATGCTTCAACCCGGATCGTTTAAACAGAACAGTCTACACTTAGAATTTAATGATCCTGGTTATCCTTTGATCATAGCGAGAAACGTCCATTTCTCCAGATTTGTGTTGATTTTAGTTGATTAAATCAGAACTCAGGCATAAATACACTTTTATTACCATTTAATTCTTTGCAGACTGCTAGTTTCAGTTCTGATCGATTCAAGATCTAAATTGGAATGCATCCATTATTTAGTCTTGTAATAGCTGGAATTTATATCAACAAAGACGCGACCAATCTGTTACATTATATTTAGATGTTTTTGACTCACTTCTATATTGTTGTTTAGAAACCACAATTTAACCTTCAGAATCAGGAATGAAATGAAGACCTTAATACGGTGTTTTTCTAGAAGATTGATAATAATGTTATAGGGTCTTTTGGGGGTTTCGCACGTGTACACTGTACTGCCAAACAACGCTTATTATTTTTAGCTATACAGTTTAAACGATATAAAGTTTGCCAACTTTTGTTACCAAAAATAAAATACAAAATACAGTACCTAATATGTCTAATAAAAATGAATAAAAATGAAAAAAGATGTAAACTTAAATATAAAGCCCAATGAATGTTTTATAATAATAATCACTTGGAATTGTTGGAAAGCACACCTGCAGAGTGGTACGTAAAGACAACGAAAAAAAATCAATTCTGGATTATTATAAGGTACTGTATGAGACGCAACCAAATACGTAATCGATTATTACAAAGTGATTACCCAAAGTATGTCTTCAATGGCTATTACAATAACCAGCAAACTTTTATTGACTGACTAATCGATTCATTCATTACACGTTATTATACGATCGTACCATTGATAGGTATGGGAGGACGAAAGTTTCACAGAAAAAGACCATCGACTCCTTAACCGAATGTCTCCATTTTTGGATTGTGTCTTTCACTGTCCATTTTATTTTGGGACGTGGATGTTTGAAATCAAATTTCACTTAATTAGAAATAGTAAAACAATAAAACGCGTTAATTGTAAATATTATTTTACTATAATCGGGGCCGCCTTAACAACATTGTAGGCCCCCGGGCAACTGCCCAGAGTTCTCGTGCGTTGAGGCGACTCTAGACTAAATTGCTACTATATCCCTTGCGTTGAGGCGACTCTGACTAAATTGCTACTATACTGCACCGATTTAATATTACAGAAAACGTTGATTTGTTATAACCCCTATTTACATTTACAAAATTAGCCGCGATACCTTAGAGAGTAAAGCACACTCTCGCTAATCAAGAATTTCTAGGTGCGATGTCAGTGTTAGCTGAGAAACTTCGTCCGGATTCTCCGACGTTTCGCCATGTCTGCAGTGTCAAGCCGTTCGAATGAGACGAGGTCCCATTATGTACACGTTAGCGTGCTCATAAAAAGAACTTTTGACAGGTAAAGAGTAGGCCGAAGCGTCGTTGTCCGGGCAAACTTTCGCTCACAACACATTGCATGGTGTACGCACGTCTTCATTAGTTCGGTTTGTGCAGAAAAGTAGGGCTTTAAGCTCCATTTCATTTATGTCATTACACAACTATAGAGATTCCAGTAACTATAACTATAGTATCTAATGTGTTTAATGGGGCTGAAGGCGGACATTTTATTTGTTAATAGCCTGACAGATCCGCGGCCATCTGTTGATCATCATGTAAACATGCTAACATTGAGTGATAATACGTCCCAAAGCTATTATGCGTGTAGAATCCATCTGATGTAATTTAACTGATTTCTGTTGGAAACAAGAATACAAATCTTATTAATAGTATTGAATTGAACCTCAGAAGAATATCATTCACTTACACAAATATACATTAATAACACATCTGGACTGTTCACCTCGTGAAATATATTACTAAATCAAAGGTTTATATAATACGTAGCTGGAGTTGATTAATAGCACTCTAGCAGAAATTTACTTGAAGACAACGAAAAACAAATATGATGAATCAATTCTCGGCTATAAAATAGTTACGATGTGACAGTGGGGAACCGTATAGATATATAATCGCTTCATCCGAGTCTCCGGTGCAAGGAGCCGAGGGAAATCGGATACCTATCGCGACACCAGTGCTAAATTAGTAGGCAGATTTAATACTATAATAAAGCACAGAGACTTCGAACATGGATACAAAATATCAGGAGCGGACTGGGTAGTGGAGAATATACGTGACATGATGAGAAAACGCACCGACTCATAGATCATTTTTCTCCTCAGATTTAGTCAATTATATTTTACAGTGGATGCGAAGATGAATTTTTGGCCCAGTCCAGCCCTGAAACGATGATGGATACAACATGAAATAATCCGGTTCTTTTTAATTTAGCTTTTTACAACAAAATTTATTAGTAGTTTCTTCGCCAGATGTATTAGACTCTTAAATTTATTAGTGAAAATGATAAAAAAAACCTTAGAGCTGTACTTCGTTGGGATGCCAAGCAAGTTCTATTAAACTAATGCAGACGCATGATAAACCTTTCCCAAACCTATCTTACGATAAAGTCAGTGTGGATAGATTTTTTATAAGTAGGTTCAAACACACGAGTCTGATAATTTATAGTAGTTGATAGGAATTGGCATTATAGAGGTGTCTGTAAATCAATTAGTTCATGGATATATTGATGGCCGATCAAATGTAAAGAGTTCATGAAAATAGAACAGATAAAAAAACCAGGTTCGATGGTTCTATATATTACACCAGTCAATAACGTTAAAGACTGACATAAAAACGAATGAGTAGTAGAGATGCGTTGATCCAACTCTGTGTATTTATGATTAGATAACACAAGACACTTCATAAAAAATAGAATGGAGATTGAAAAGCAGGTTCTATGGTTCTGTAGTTACCGACCCTAGTTTCATTCTGACAGGAAATGAACAGAATGATGTGATGGATTGATATTTTCACACTCACAGAATCCTTCTGGTATTGCATTGTTTGTTCATATCGATCCGTGGCTCCATGTTTCTCCGTCGACCAGGTTTTTACTATCGATCTTGTTGCTAGATGCCCCAAGCGGTTTCTCTATTACACTACCCACTGCACAGTTGATACTAGCGATATAGGCAAATAACGAGCTGCGTCTTATTTGTGAATGATAATGGAATGACTGCATCTTTCAAAGGTAAGTGCATATTGTGTTGTGTTACGATGTTCTCCTGTTCCTGCCACAGTGACTCGTCACCTTCCATCGGCTTACCTGTCTTTTTTATACAGCAGTTCTACTTAATGTGACTCTAAGAATTCCAGATACTGAAGTGATTCATTTCTCTATAGTTATGTTCTTTCGTTTTATAGATTAGCATTGATTAATCGGTTAGTTCAATTAAGACCAGGTATGAGTTTTTCGGTTTCGCAGAACCAGGTGAAGTCTTCTATTGGGAAGGGTATAAAGGTGTAATACCGCCGAAGAGTAATTCAATTCAAGGATGGGGATAAGATATTCACAGCAAACTCATAACATTGTGTACACATCGCCTGAATGTAACTTTAATGTCTAGACGAACATAATTCGCTAGAGACCGGAACGTACCATCTGTATGTTTGTTCCTGCTTTAATTTAGACCAAGATCGAATAAATTTCAACTGTTTAAAGCACTTGAAATTTTGTTTGAACGCGTGGTAAATTGACGAAAATAAACCTGGTTTACCTATTCTGTTATTTATGTCAATTAAAATAAATCTGTTCAAATTAATCATTTCGCATGCATAAATTAAACAGGCATTATGCAAGAGCTAAATATGCCTATTGTAGGCTTTTCTTTATGCCTTAAAGGGCTAATCCCGATAATATTTTGGAGAATAAAACTGTTTAATTTTGTTTAAAAATCCTTTAAAATCCTCTACCTAAGGGCCGAGCAACTAACTCAATATTTGTGATAAGTTTTCAAATAACTGAAACACGTCAGTCTTTATCTGGAAATGGAGACCGATGTCCCAAGCTATATTATGCGGTGTCTAGATAAAACCAGACATTTTGTGTATAAAAATAATGTGTAGGTGAAATTTACCTTTCATTATCAAGTACAGCATTTGGGTCATTCACTGTATAGACCTCTCAATGAACGGGAATCGATTATCAGGTCTCCCAACGAAAAAATTGAGCCGAAATCTTAAAAGGGTTACGTGTCCGGATAAGCAGTTTTGACGGTCACGTCCAAATGACTCAATATTTTGAGATGAAATTTTGAAATACGGTCAATACACCATTCCTCTATATTTTGGCGTTTAAATTTCATACATACTCAGACTTTTATTTTTGAGACTCTGTTCAAATAAGGGACAGTCGCTTTAAATGTTATATAAATTAATGATTTTCTACAGATTTAAATACGATTGACAATTGATGATTTAATTTAAAAATGGATAATCGAGACTGTGTTTATTATCTTGAAAACGGTAACAATGACAATCGAGGCTACACTGTTCTAACTCGGCTCAGATTGACGTAATTTGACTGAATTTTTCAACATATTCCCTTTTCATTATCTATTGTTTGAATATTAGAGCGAGAGCTGTCCGCACTATATCTAATCTTACATAATGCCCCTTTAAGTGTCCATGTATAGATTCCACGGTTCATCCTCTGGTGTTACAGGCGAGGCTTTATATTAAGACCGAATTGAACAGTATTTGCTCGTAGATCAGCATTGGACCGATCCGCCAATTTCCCAATTTCCAGACGTTCCGAAATTGAAGGCGCAGTACAAATATGTTAGCTTTATGAACTTTTATTGTGATAACGGATGTTTGCAAAAGAATAAGCATATCTTAAATAGTGCACAACACCCGTCAATACTAATATATGTGGAATAGTTTGGACGTGTCATACAAAAGTCGAGGCTGTTATATATGTAGACGATAACCTCTGCGCTAACGGTCACCAGAGCATCCTTTGGATACAGACAACGGGATCGGCAGACTTTCTGGAGATTGATGGATGATATGTTAATATGCATGTTACATCTTCAGATGTATGGTAGCTCAGTGATTACGGCGCTGGTTCACTATCCAAGAGGTTGTGGATTCGATCTTGGTGTTTGGCAGAAAAACGCCCAGTCGTTCGGATAATACGAAACACCACGGTTGCGTGTATACCTTTGCCAGACGTTAAAGATCATCTGACAGTTGGAAATCTAAATTAAAGTATACGCAAAGTTTGCCTCATAGCGCATTGCATGGCGTAATTCCAGTCTCTATTACCCCGGTTGGTGAAGCAAAATAAAACGTTAATACCAATTTCTTTGCATTTACCATTGTATTCTGATACTAAAAATCACAGAGACAACCCATTCTCAGACAAAGTTAATAAATTAAACGGAAGGTTGAAAGTTTTCCCATAAACCGCCAAGAAAACACATAAACAAAAAACATGAGGTTTTTAACGTGGCACCTTTAATCCACGGTTTCATTCCCAGAGATATTCTAAATTGACATCTTTTGCGATTTTAGATGACAGCTTTGGTAATGGATTGCTTGAGCTGCAAGGCAATAAAACCTTTGAAGAATTTTGTTGTGGCGTTTTAAAAGATGGCGGGTTTTATATTCTTTTAAGGACATGGGCTTCCATTAAAATTGCTGCTATTACGTCAAAGCTCTCGTTATGTGGTATTTTATATCCGTGTTGGAGCTTAAATAAATATTTAGCTCAATCTCAAATTTCACACCCGATTTTCTTCTCAACCCGTCTGTTATGGACAACTCCATCAAGATTTCTCCAATCATGGTAAATAGTTTGTGATTAAATTCCAGCTCGCTATTTAGGTCAGAAAAAAATGGTTTATCGATTCTTGTCTGAGAGGCTATTAAAAATTGTAATAAATCGACATGTTTTAGTATTGTGGTATTTGTCGATACATGTATGTAGAATGAAATGAAATGAAATGGGGTTTAACGTCCTACTGTTCTGCTCTATACTGAAGACGGGCATAGGCCATACAGTGTGCTATGAGGGAAATTTTGCCCGGACAGCGGCACTATCGCCTACTCTTATATCGAATTCCAACTGCCAGGGGATCTTTTTCGTGCATTCCAATATATGCACGGGACCTCGGTTTTTCGTCTCATCCGAAGGACTAGACAGCTGTCCTTGTCAGGCCCTCCGTTCTGCACCACTGACAAGGGGACACCACGTCGGAAAGTATGGATGAACTTTCTCGGCCAATCCAGGGATCGAACACCCGACCTCCAGGCTAGCGAGCCAGCGTCTTACCCATCTAGCCACCGTGGCTCCCACATGTATGTAGAAGCTTTATATAACTAAGATACAGTTACCATACTGTGCTTGTATAACGGTGGTTATTATTGTAATGGTTTTAATTAATAATTGGTGTGCTGGGTTGAAAATAACATTCGGTTAATCTCTCTTTTGTTTCTTTCAATGGAGCGTGTTTGTTGGACAAATTGTCATATATTCATGCCTGGGGATATTGTATTCTCTTTCGGTATATTTATCTGGTAGCCCGATGTGCCACATGGGCATGACAATTATCGAGATATGATGGATAGATTACAGAGATAAAAGAGGACAATGAGTCGAGTCCAACATTAGCAATGTCAACTAAGATATCAGAATGTTTATGAAATTAGAACGATCTACTTCTATCCAGACGTTTTAACCGCTGTTTTGTAAAGGTATCAGTTCATTTAATTCCATTGCAGCATCGTACGAGGCATTAAGAGTGAGAAACGAATCTTTAAACCATTACATGTTTCTCAAAAACGCTCTCTGTGGTCTCTTATTCAGCATCGAACAGTGCCATGATTAAGTAATAAGGTTCATTCACATGCGGCGAAAATCTATAAAAACCTTAATGAAAAGGTGAAGTCATGAGTCAGAAACTGGATCAATTTGATGTAATCATCAAAGATGTAAAGAATTGCTTCAAAGACTTTGAGTGACAGATAAGCTTTTAACGCAAATTCCCTCAGACACGATTTGTATTATTTGATTATTCGGGGCCTGTTTATATTTTAACTAAATTAAACGTTGATAGGTCGAAGACTTTGGTTTTAAAGCTGCACCATAAATTGTTTTGGTGGTAAATTATACGAAAATCCGTCCAAGATTTGGTCAACGGAGTTCAGAATACATGAATAGAAACAGATGAATAATATATGACATGCCGGAAGCCGGGAACAAAAATGTGCCTTGCATCCTCTTCCCCATCTTCCAGGCCAATAGCAGGATTAGTGTCAGAAAACAAAGTTCGACACGAGACGCTAGAATACATATTTTAGTCCAAACGAGCTGATATTTTTTAAGGATTTTTTTGTCTAGATTTACAATTTAATTAAGGAGAACCTTTAACAACATGGTGCGTGGCTGATTTTACAAAATTAATAACAAACAGGAAATATAGCGTGACAGACACTATTAGCAGCGTTGGTTTTTCTTGATAACCATGAACCTATTAGCATAGCTTTTTTCAATCACAGTGCTTTTAATTATCAACATCGTTCACGTTCACCAAATATTAATGACACCGTGCGGTATGAAAATGTTGTGACTCTTAAGTGCGATTCTTCTGATAGCAACAAGCTCTAATAATCGTTGCGTTCACATTAATTACATGCAGCCTGTCAGTCCAGCATTAAAACCACTCAATATCAGTATCCAACGATTCTTGATTTTTTTTACTTCGATGCAAATTTTTGTCTTGCTAATAATTTCTGTTAATGGCCCAATATGAACGGCAGATATTAACTTTTAGACATACACAATGTAATGCAGTTTTACGGAAACAAATATTGGTCAAAATTATTGTTTTAATCGATCAACCCTAACGTAAGTAATAGCCATATAAGGCTCATCTGATTGTAAACCGCCGTCTTTATTTCCCAGGTATCGTCTGGAGAATAAATGAATTACTATTGTCTAATTTACCATGGAAAGAATATTCTCCATTGTCAATCTTTGTTACATTCAAAGCCAGAAAGTGGAATTTGTCTTGACACATGACTTCTTTAATGGTATGATTTATAGATAAAGGCTTGTGGTTCAAATATTAATATCCGACACCCAGTGATCAGTTAAATAGTTTTATTGCTGGAAAATCATTAGAAGTAATTATATAGCACGTAATTTCAGAAAAATGTTGTCATTATATGAAAAGCCAATTAAAG